GATTTCCACAGTTTCATTTATTAAATATTTATAGAAAAAAATAAAACTTATACCGTTAATTTTCATATTTTTCACACATCATTTTAACATAATCTGTTTGTTAAGAAAATAGGTTCATTTGAACAAATTATGTGAATAGTAGAGAACCAAACTAATTTTTTATTCCCTTTCACTTTACTCTGTTTTTTCATCTCTACTAGTAATTAATCATTTAATATTAAATTCCAAATTAATTGTTTCTAAATAAATAATAGTAACATTTTTTAAAATTTTAAATTTTATTATTATTATTATTTTCGCATATATTTTTTTAATTATTTTTTTTTATTGTTTTCATTTCTTTGTACTAGAAAGTTAAAATTTCTAGACCGGTTTTCAGGGCGTTATATTTCTCACCCCCTTAAGGAAAATTTCGTCCTCGAAATTTACCTGACACGTTGTCCGGAAAAAAAAAGTGAGGATAATGATTTCACATTGACTCTTTTGTCTCCCACGTATAAGAATTCCTCTACATCGTAATTCTGACAAACGATTTTACCTAGTGGCACTTCTTGATTGTCACATTTTAAGATTCAAATTTCTACAGGCTCTTTTTCATGTCGGAGGTTCTCATCCAGTTCTACCATTATACCATATTATGTTTGTTTTCAAAGTGTTTAATAAAAATGTAAAATTTATTTTGGTAAATTTTATTTTCTCACCTCGTGATGAAGTAATTGGTTTAAAAAAAAAACTAACATCCCCAAAAATTTACTATTTTACTGACAATATAATTACTAATGTGAATTTGAAACACTTGGCTTCATTTTAACAAAACATTGCGCACGTTAGTTATAATTATTACTATTATATTATTAAATTCATTTTACTACTATTTTTTTGTTTGCTTTGCTCTTAACCTTTTATACAAAGTTAATATTTGATTAAGAATATGTAATTGGAATTTCTTTGTCAAAATCTTTCTAATAACATCGATATTGTATGAAACTCTTTTTTTTAGTAAAGTAGAACCAAACTTTATATAAAACATATTCTCTTTTTTTTTCAAATAACAGTTTTTATGGAAAAAAACTCCTTTATTTAGTTGTGTATAATCAAACAACATAAATTTGTCTACTAAAATATTTTTTATTCGAACAACTATATAATATAGGGTATAAACCTTTCTCTAATTTGGAAGACAAGAGTCCTTATAATAAATAAATATCTAAGTCGCAATAACCCTAACATCTTGAGAAATCATATGTGCGAAACTCATGTCATATCTGTTTAACCAAAGAATTACCACTTAAAAGAAAGAAAAAATACCTTCACTTTGTTTTTTTCACTAACCCTCATGAACCATCATTAGTATAGAGTCAATAATGTAAGCTTAAAAAGTTATTTCCTTATAGAAAGGTTATCG